TCTCAGTTCATTAAGTTTCTCTAATAAAGCATGGGTGAGAGGTGGCATGTTCAGATTATTCAAAAAAATTAATATAGGGAATACATATAATTAGTATTAATAATTAGTAATAATACCTTTAGGTGATACCTTAGTTTTCAAAGCACTTTCCCATACCATACCTCATTTTTTTCTTCCTCCGACTTCATAAGGTAGGAGGGCACGTATTATTCTTACTTTCAGAAGATGAAAGTAAGAACCAGGGCTAATATGTAACAAAATTGGGGCAAGAAGAGACTAGATTCTTTGACTCCAAGTTAGTATTCTTTCCAATAAACCATGTTAACTTTCTAATTTATAAAGTTTTAAAATAATAGAACATGTAACATTAGAACAATACTGAATATAATTTACTCTTTTGACGATTCAAAACTTTGTTCTTTATGGCTATATATCATATCTGAGCTGTGCTTCCTTAAATATAAAATAGAAATTTCTAGCACACACATAAACACACTCTCTGGAGGATGGGTTAAATGAAATGCCCCTGTAAACAACGTAGTAGTGTGCCTTTGAAGATTCAAATTTAGTATAAAATATGCAAATACTTTTTTGTGTTTCTATGACTAAAAGTAATTCATTCTTATTATTTATTTGTTTATTTTTTAAGAGACAAGGTCTTGCTCTGTTGCTCAGGCTGGAGCACAGTAGCGCAATCATGGCTCACTATAACTTCCAACTCCTGAGCAATTCTCCTGCCTCTGCCTCCTGAGTAGGTGAGATTACAGGTGCATGACACCATGCCCAGCTAATTTTTCTTATTTTTTGTAGAGACAAGGTCTCACTATATTGTCCAGGCTGGTCTCGAACTCCTGGCCTCAAGAATCCTCTCACCCCGGCCTCCCATAGTGCTGGGATTACAGGTATGAGCCACCATGCCCAGCCCATGCTTATTAGATAAAGAAAATAAAAATCACCCATAATATCACCACATATTAATCAAAGTTAATATTTTAAGTGTAGATCCCTCCAAAATTTTACAACACACACACAGGTACATTTTGTGCATGTTTTAGAAAATGAGGTCCATTAGCTCAATTCTGTGTTCTCTGAACTTAAAAAAAATACATTTAGCCTCCCAAAAGAAACAAACCATAAAGCCTTTATATATGGTCCTCAAATTGCCGTATATAAAAAAGACTCTTTTACAACCAGTCTTTTAACTCAACATACCGCAAGTATCATTCTATCTAAAAGTTCACTAAATAATCTCTTTTGAACTGTACTGCTTCTCTTTCCATGTAAATTCTAAACACCATTATTATAATTTAATGAATTATGTTGTTCCCAAGTTTTCCTATTGTAAACATGCTATGATAAACAGTGAACATATATCTTAGCTTAATTGGAGGGCATGATGTGCACATTTTAAACTTTGATATGCCTTGCCAACATCTAGAAAATGTGTACCAATTCACATTCCTATTGACAGTGTATTAAGTGCTTGTATTCCCATACCCTCGCCTATCTAGATTTGGTTTGAAATAAAACCCTCCTTTTACTACCATTAATAGTAAAAGGCTTTAGGATCAATTATAAAAGAGAGGTATTTGGTTCCATTTCAGAAGAAAGTATTTGAGGAAAACAAAACAAACAACAGGCTGAGGGGGAAACACCAGGATCCAAACACTTAGAAATTCCCATTCAGTTGGGAGCTGGGTTTTTCATCATCCTGCTCACTCCTCATCATTTGTTTGTTTTGTCTTATTTGCTATGCTTCACTTTTTAGTCATCATCTGTGGTGAGAAGAGAAAGAGAGGAATGTGTGACGACAAAGCACACACCTCCATCCAGCTAAGTACCCTGCATCTGACTAAGGACTCAGTATCAGCTCCCCTTGGACCCTCGACTACACCAAGCTCTGCTCAGGGGAAAACAACAGAGTTTCAAGAATTTTACCTCCAAAATGATAACTAAACTGTTTGTTCTGGATTCTGCAAATATCAGCCAATTTTCATAAAATTCAGTATCCATGATGATTTAATATAATCAAAACCTCTGATTGCTTCAATCTAAATAACAAATGTGACAAGGGGGAGGGAAATGCCCATCACCAGAAGAGGAGTCTACCTAATACAGTATTCTAAACTAGACGCTTAGTCAGCTTTACTTTTTTTGTTGTTAAAGAGAGTGGGTCTTGCTCTGTCACCCAGGCTCGAGTACAGTATGTGATCATAGCTCAAACTCCTGGGCTGAAGTGATCCTCCTGGCTCAGCCCCCGGAGTAGCTAGGATTATAAATGCATGCCACCATGCCCAGCCAATTTTTCTATTTTTTGTAGAGACAAGGCCTCGCTATGTTGCCCAGGCTGGTCTCAAACTCCTACACTCAAGCAATGCTCCTGCCTTGGCCTCCCAAAATGCTGGTATTATAAGCATGAGCCACTACACCTGGCCCAGAGTAGAGACTTTACATCAACCAGGAAGAAAAAATTCACCTTATGTTTTCTTTATTTTAACCAGTCAGAATGGCCCTAGGAACAGAATAACAACTACGAAAGGATAGTAAAAAAAGTTTTCTAAATGCTTTCCTTTTTGAACTATTATTTAGAGATCGTTCAAGTGTTCACAGACAGGTCTGTGGATCCAACACTAAAAAGATCACAATTTAGCTTTATATTTATAAATTATAGTATTACTCCAGACAAAGTTGCTGGTTCAGAGTGAATAATGAAGCAAGGTGCACTTCGAGGGCAGCGGCATATGTCCATATGGAGCGAACACCTGCTCAGGGGACTTGCAATCTACCACTACACTTAATTCATTTTTGCTGTAACCCTGAGGTCATTTACTGAACAGATACTGTTATTTAGATGACTTGCTATTTCATGTGCTGGGCAATTGTACTGAACAGCAGTAAAGAACAGAAACTAAGTCCCTGCTCTCAAATTCTAGTTGGAGAGAAAATTTGGCCATAAGTAAGTATAAACAATAATAAATAAGGTAATTTCAGGTAGTGATAAGTGCTACAAAGACAGTAACACAGGGGATGTATTAGTTAGTGCTTTGGCCTGGGAGGAAAAAGCTTCATTAGTTGGGATAATCAAGAAAGGCTTGTCTCAGGAAGTGATATTTGAGCCAGACTTTGAATAAGATAAAGCCAATCACGCAATGATCTGGGAGAACAGTGTTTCAGGCAAAGGGAATAGTAAAGGTGAAAGAATGGACCTGGGGTGTTTGAGGAAGAGGGCCAGTGTGGCTGGAGCTCAGTGACTGAGGAGGAAAAATGAGATGAGGTGGGAAGAGGCCAGTACACAGGACCTCCAAGGCCATGGCAGAATCTGAATTTGATTGTAGGAATAGTGGAAAGCCATTACAGGGCTTTAAGCAAGGAAATGATATAATCTGACTTAAGTTATTTTAAAAACCTCTATGATGACTACATGGAGAATGGCCTGCAGCAGAGCAAAAATGGCAGTAAGAAGACCAACGGCCATGGAAACAGACTATGTGGGAGACACTAAAGGTTTCGGCTAGGGTAGGTGATGAGAACTAAGAAGAATGGTAAGATCCAGGGGTTCATTTCAGAGGTGAACTGATATGACTTGCTGGTGAATTAAGATGTCAGGGGGGAGGAAGATAAAACAGAGAAATAAGGATTACCCCTATGTTGGGACTTGAGCAACCAGATGGACAGTGGTGCCACTGACTGACACGGGGAACACCAGGAGAGAAAGAGATTTGGACTGGAGAGTAGGGACAGCCAAAGGTTCTGTGTTGGGTATGTTAGGCGCTGGACATCTCACAGTGATTATAAGATGGGAGTAAAACAGCACATAGTTGATCAGGTGAAAAGAGGAAGCCGGGCCAACAGAAGGGCTGAGAGAGAGCATCACCAAGGAAGGAGAAGAGTCAGGAGAGGGAAGGGTCACAGAGACTGAGAAGAAAATCCTTTAAGAAGGAGGGAATAGGCCGGGCACTGTGGCTCACGCCTGTAATCCTAGCTCTTGGGAGGCCGAGGCAGGTGGATTGCTCAAGGTCAGGAGTTCAAAACCAGCCTGAGCAAGAGCGAGACCCCGTCTCTACCATAAATAGAAAGAAATTAATTGGCCAACTGAAATTAGCCGGGCATGGTGGCGCATGCCTGTAGTCCCAGCTACTCGGGAGGCTGAGACAGAAGGATCACTCGAGCCTAGGAGTTTGAGGTTGCTGTGAGCTAGGCTGACGCCACGGCACTCACTCTAGCCTGGACAACAAAGCGAGACTCTGTCTCAAAAAAAAAAAAAAAAAAAAAAAAAAGAAGGAGGGAATAATCAACTGCTGGAAGACTGACTCAGATAAGGAAAGAAACTGACTACTGGATTTAGCAAGACAGAAGTACATTAATAAAGAAAGAGAGTGGGAAAACATGTTACCAAAAAGGTATTACATCTTGATCAAGCTAAGCTAAAAGAAATATAAAAAAGACAATCTCAGCAAAATTACTGAGGCATGCTGATTTATCAAGTACATTCTGACTTCCTTTCTCAAAGGAAGAAAGAGGGAATCAATGGCTTGGAAGGGTGTCCTTCTGAGGCTTCCATTCTTATTCCCTGGGGAGAGAAGCTCACTTAGCAATAGGACAGTGGTATTCAGAACTTAAATGGAAAGAGAAGCAGCTCAGCCCAAAAGTTTGACTAAAAGTTTATTGGCCCCACTTGACTATAATACATCAAACTCCTAACATTCTTCTGTTCAAAATAACCCCAAGCCAAAAGTTTCTTTATCCAACTTAAAGGCCCAAGTGAAAGGAAAAAACTACCAGCAGAAGGAGGAGACCACATCTAAGCCCCTGGTTGGGAACATTCTTCTGGCACTACAATGCCTTTTCCAAGGCTGCTCCTGATTCACTATCAGACTCCAGTCTGCATCTCACTCTCTGGTCTCATCACTGAAGACAAAACTAAGAAAAGTGATCAGAGAGGCCCGCCCACATTTGCAACACTTTGTCTTTGCATCTCCTCCTCACTTCCCGCCCCTTACCTGGGTCATTTTGTCCACAGAGACTGGAATTCCATCGATGGTGAGAGGTGGCAGTTCTGAGTTAACCTCCTGTGGCGCAGGGGCGTGTTCTGCCAAAGCAGACTCCAGGTCTTCCAGGATCATGCTTTTGTACTTACGCACCTGCAGGGAATTAAGGGCAGAAGTAAACAAGATACCCAACAACCAGGGAGGATTGGTGCCAAGCAACAACACAGTGGGTGGGGCTGGCCTCCCTGAGCCACTGTACAGCCTTAAGAATAAACACTCCTATAACAAGCAGATAAAAATACCCGCTGGCCCCAAAGACATCACACTGAACAGAATCAAATGAAAAGATGATGAAATTACAGGTAACAATAATAAAAAGGACCTAATGGAAAAAGTTTTACAAAGCACTGTTTCTCAGTTAAAATCATGCTTTTTCAGTCAATGCAGACCCCAACACCTGTTCCAGATCTAACAGGAATGGTATTATTCATTAATCTGCATTTCCCAGGCCATTTGATAAATACCTAGATGTGACAGTTGCCAAAATCATTTTCAATATCCTCAAGGATTTATGACTTCAAAACTCTAGTTTGCCTATTTGAAACTGCTGCTACTTTTCTGCAAAGCCAGACTACCACACAAATAAGAGATTCAAATGCACAAGAGGCTGGATTGAAAAGAATCAAAGAAAAAAGCAAGAGGTGTATATTGTAGCTGAGTGTCAAAGGCCCAGGGAAGAGAGTCCCATAAGTCAAATCTTCTTCCCTGCTGTTCCTCACTGGTGATAGAAGTGAACTTCAAACACATGATGATCTCTAGCCCAGGTCTGAACCAGATATTGTTCTCTGATACCTTTCCTTGCCACTGTCAGTGAAATGTCAAATGACTGGGAACTTAACAGCAGCACATTATACATGTACACATTCTTCTAACATAAGCAGCAAGAGTAGAAAGACACTGGTCCTACGCCCACCAATATAATGGGTTTATCTGAACACGTGGGACTTGGAGGGAAAAAAAAGATGGGTTCATTCACTTAGACGAATACACAAGGGGGATGAGGACACCTCTGGGGATAACAAAGAAGCCATGGAATTATGGAAATGTGATAAGATGAGACAAGAAATTAACTTGCTTTCAGTGCCCAAGGCATTATCTTAGAAGAAAAGAAGGAAAAAGGATATGAGATTTGCCCAAAAGTCCTGATGTTTGAGTCCTCAGTTTCCTGCTAAGAGAACTGGACTCTTGATCATTACACACTTTCTTATAAATATCTCATATTAAGGATTAAAAAAGAAAGATTCCCATACTCCACCCCAAGCATCTGGAAAAGTAAATATTATTGTTGGCTACATAGTGTGACTTTTGCAATTACAGAGCCCTCCAAATAGGTCAAAAACTAAGGGAATGAGAGAAAAACAGCACAAACAGGTAGACTCATTATTCTAGATATTTCATTTCATCCTGGTTTCTAATAAAGATGAACGTTTCAAAAATTATTGCCATTATATTTATTGTAATATAAGCAGGTGGTGCTGCCATGGCAATTTTACAAGATTTTATTTTCTGCTTTCTATGTTTCAATTTTCTAGCGAGTTTCTTTGCTACCAACCCACAGAAGAAACTGAATCTTACAAGGCTGGGTTCTGGTCTTTGAACTTTAATGTATCAGGTTGAATCCTTATATTAGGGCTTGGCCCATAGTAAGAATGAATGCTCATATTATAAATACAAACTTCATTGTGCTGGAAATGCCTGGTATTCAAAGATGGGAAATCATTAGGTTATTACCATCACATTATTTGCCAGTTTCAAACAATTTTAGCAATTTTTATGAGTTAACAAAATTTTAGGAATTCATATCCAAGTATTTTGCTAAACTTAGTCACTGCTATATAATTCCTTTAAAATATACATACATTTAATCCTGATAGAGTATCTCTCAGAGCAATTTGCAACAAAACAACTTCAAGTGTGACAACAGCATTGCTAGCTAAGCTTGCTTTGTAGGGTTAGGTAACTTTCCCAGAATTATAGAGCTAGTGCTCCAATTCTATCTGATCTATCAATTCTGAGATATATTTTTCTTTCCCACGAGGTACATCTTAAAATTGTGGCCCAGGCAACAATGGTGCATATTTGTCACTGCCTGCACAGAAGAGAAAGTGCCTGCTATGCCTGGGAACATGACTATAACCCTTTGCTTTTTCAGTCAACAAATCATTTAGCACCATTTGAGAAAGGAATGTGAGTCTTAGCTATTGTCTGATAACTTTCTCAATGGCATTTTCTGGTAAATCAAGAAAGACTTGCATCAAACTTGGTGCAGCTTGGGAAAAAAACTCAGAGACAGTAACAGAGCACTTTTTTAAAGAAAGGCAGCATCACTCATGTTCTTTATGGTGCAGAGGACAACGTTACATGAAAAACCATAGCAGGCCGGGCACGGTGGCTCATGCCTGTAATCCTAGCACTCTGGGAGGCCTAGGCGGGCGGATTGCTCGAGGTCAGGAGTTCGAAACCAGCCTGAGCAAGAGCAAGACCCCATCTCTACTATAAATAGAAAGAAATTAATTGGCCAACTAATATATATAGAAAACATTAGCCGGGCATGGTGGCACATGCCTGTAGTCCCAGCTATTCTGGAGGCTGAGGCAGCAGGATTGCTTGAGCCCAAGAGTTTGAGGTTGCTGTGAGCTAGGCTGACGCCATGGCACTCACTCTAGCCTGGGCAGCAAAGCAAGACTCTGTCTCAAAAAAAAAAAAAGAAATTAATTGGCCACCTGATATATATAGAAAAAATTAGCCGGGCATGGTGGCGCATGCCTGTAGTCCCAGCTACTCGGGAGGCTGAGGCAGTAGGATCGCTTGGTCCCAGGAGTTTGAGGTTGCTGTGAGCTAGGCTGACGCCATGGCACTCACTCTAGCCTGGACAACAAAGTGAGACTCTGTCTCAAAAAAAAAAAAAAAAAAAACCAAAAACAAAACCATAGCAACAATGACTGAAACGAGAAGTGATTCAAAAGAGTTGGACTCTGAATGTGAAGAAGTTTTAGGAATATCTTAATTGATTTCACTTACATTTTTCTTTTTAACGTATGCCCAAAAGCAATGTAAGGTTAAAAGCTATGTCTAAGTAAGCCTGAAAGAGGTCTTTCAATAAGTATAAAATAAAAATTCTAGATGACAGATATTGTATCAGAACTTGTCAATGTTTTTTTTCTTTCTTTGTAGTACACAAAGGTGCATGTCATAATCAGAGGTGTCACAGATGTGATAAAATACAGGTTTATGTTCCAACTTATGCTTCTATTCCAAAAAAATATAGCTCAAGCCTCTGTCACTGCACACCAATATGTCAAGTAACTGGTTTTCACAAAGTAAAAAACCACTTAAAATCAAAATCAGTTAGCAATCTCTCTTCCCCCACTTCATCTTGTATACTATTGCCATTTAAATTTTCTGAAACACTTATCATCAGATACCATTTATTGAACACTATATGCCAAGCCATAGTATCAACTAATCCTCACAATAATTCTATAAGGAAAATACCATCATACCCATTTCACAGATAAGAAAACCGAGGCTTAATAAAAGTTAAGTAACTTTTTCCAAATCATATAGTAAGAAGTATAGCTAAAGGCTGGTAGTGGAGGCTTATGCCTATAATCTTAGCACTTTGGGAGGCCAAGGCAGAAGCATCACTGGAGGCCAGGAGTTCGAGACCAGCCTGAGCGACATAGTGAGACCCTATACCTATGAAAAATAGAAAAATTAGCTGGGCGTGGTGGTGCGCTGCTGCAGTCCCAGCTACCCAGGAGGATCACTTGAGCCCAGGAGTTTAAGGTCATAGTGAGCTAAAATGATGCCACTGCCCTCTAGCCCGGGAGACAGAGCAAGATTCTGTCTAAAAATAAAAGAAAAAAGAAATATAGCTGGAAATCAAACTAATTTTATCTAGCTCTAAAGCTCGTATGTTCAGCCTCATCACTATCATTTACCTTTTTTTCTCAAAAAACTTCTATAGTTCCCTACTTCTTATAGGATGAAGTCCGAACTTCTCGGTCTAGCATTTCAACCTTTCCAAGCATTCTTTACTTTTCCAATACTCCTCTGCCAGTGCCACCGATACAGTTGTCCTTTACACTATGTGAATGGCAGCCTCTGGAATTCCCAATACAACCCCCAAGGAGTCCTACTAGGCAACTTTGCTCACCTTCTTTTCTCTTTAGCTGGCCAGCCTCCTCACTAGCCTTTGCATTTAGCAAGTTCTTTTCTACCTTTGGGTCTTTAAATCTGCTTCTTATCTAAATATTTTCCATCTTTCAAGGCCCAACTCAATTCCCACTTGCTTTGAAAAAACTTCCCTAGTGTTCTTGCCAAGACTCTCTTCCTCCTTTAAATTCCTACAGACACAAATAATTGTGTGTCACTTAAATACACTGTACACAACCATTGCATGACATCACTGAACGCAGGACAAGGTCTTCTATTTTTTAACATGTATTATAAAATATTTTATATATCCAGACATGTACAAATAATACATTAACAAACATTCTCATAATTATCAGAAATGAAGGATGTTTAGGGTATTTACAAGAGCCATTAGAGTTCTGGGCACAGAATGTGCTTGTTGAAACTTAGGATTTGGCTGATACAAACCTAAGGTCGTTGGGCCTTTAGTCAGGTTGCAAAAACAGTCCCAGACAAGATACATAATCCTTTTGTATTTCTGAAGCTTTTTTGGATAAAAGAGGAGTTTTCAGGAAAGTCCTATAAAAGACTTTTTAAAAAATTGTCTATAAGCTCCTCTAAGACTAAAAATATATTGTCTGAGATATATTTTTGAGATATATATAGTCTTTGTTATACACCTGAGATATATAACAAACCGCTGCCCCAGAGCAGACTTGTGATTCTGAAGCACATCTGGCCTCTAGCCAGGCCACAGGACGTGGCCCATGAAGTCATGTTGGTTTCATTCTGTTCTCCCTCCACCCCCAATGTCTGCCTCCCTTCTTCTCCTGCCTCAGTTCAGTTCTCTAGTTTCCTTAGTCCCTTGGATCTCTAGTTTTGAACTTTGAAACCTCAAAGGACTTAGATGGAATACTCATCTCATACTTTGTAACTAAAGGTATTAAATAGTT